GGAAGATGAGAAATCTCCCATGCAACATATTACCTCTGAAAACCTGCTAGAGGGTCAGTTAGGAGTCGGTTCCACTTCAACAGCACAAAACAACAATGGGGCAGTTTTGCTGTATTCTCTAGGGCCGTATTGGTTCAGAATTGACTCATCAGCATGCAACAACGTTAGCATGTGCGTAAATACATTTTCAGTTCATTGAACTGTATATAATTGATGGTCTGCTTTGTGCCCAGGGAGCTCTGACGTTGTAGTCCGTCAGGAGTTCTGTTGCTAACTCAGCGGCTGTACTCCTGGTGGTTCTAATACACCAGCAGCTCTTCTGGGATACGAGGAGCATCTCCTTTCATTTGATTCACAGCCTCAGAAACCCAATAGGAGGTGAGCGATGACAGCAGTGAGTTTGAGTTATTGCGTGCCAGACATCATCCTAAGGATGTATCCTAGGAATATATCAGTGAACACAGCAGACTGTGTTCAGAGGTGTAGGATGTGGTCAGGCACTTAGCTGACCTGAAAGTTGGCAACTTGAACCCACCAACCACCTCATAGGAGAAGGATGAGGCTGTCTGCTTCGATAAAGATTCACAGCCTTGAAAATCTCATGGAGCAGTTCTCCTCTGTCAGAAGAGTCCATGTGAGTCAGAATTGACTCAGTGGCAGCGGGTCGATGAGTTGGCCGAGTTGATGGGGCAATGAAGCAGTCTTGGAAATGGATAAGGGTAAGTGCTATACAAAGTGTGAAGCATTAAACCCACTGAATTATACACTTCCTGTTGTTGAGTTGGCTGTAACTTAAAGCAGCCTTGTGTACGACAGAACGTAGCCCTGCCTAGTTCTGCTCCACCTTCAGTCTCCATTGTTGCTGTCATTCTGTCATTGCTGTCTTTCCATCTCACTCAGGGTCCTCATCTTTGTTACTGACTCTACTTTTCTAAGCATGACATCCTCCCGCCTCCTCCAGGGAGGGATCCTTGCTGAAAACATGCCCAAAGCAGGTGAGAGGAAGTCTCACCATCGTAGCTTCTAAAGCACAAGAACTAGATGCTTAAGATTATTAAAATGGAAAATGTTTTATGTGTTTTACCACAATAAAAGGTTAACAACGAGAAGGAAATTACAGTATTTACTTCACAGAGTTATTTGGAGGCACATAAATATGATAAAGTTGTTGTTGTTGTTAATATGCCATAGAGTTGTCTGCGACTCATAGCAACTGTATGAACAGCAGCTCTGGACCCTGCCCTGTCCTGAGCCGGTCTCACTGACTCCGACACACCAACCACAATTGTCCCAGTTACTATGTCAATCCATCTCATCCAGGGTCTTCTCTCCAGCACTGTCCTTCCATGCTTCCAAGCATGATGTGTTTCTCCAAGGACTAGTCCCTCCTGGCCATGTGCCCAAAGTATATGAGGTGGAGCTTCAAACTCCTTGCCTCCAAGGAGAAACTTGGTTTCACCCTCTCCAAGATAGACCTGTTTGCTTTCTTGGCAGTCCATGGTATAGTCAACACACTTCTCCAGCACTGCAACTCGAAGGCATCAATTCTTCTTCTGTCTTCCTTAGTCACTGCCCAGCTCTCTGATGCATAGCAAGTGACTAGAAAGACCATGGCCAGAATCGGGTGTGCCTCAGTCTTTAAACTAACTTCATTGCTCTTCTGCACTATTGAGCTGTCTTTGAGTGGTTCAGAAAAAAAAAGGAAAACCTTTACCAAGATGGTTTCACGCAAGTGCAACTTAAGCCCAGCAGAGATTGTGAGGATGGTGCAGGATTGCGTAGGGTTGGTTCTGTTGTTCAGGAGATCCTGTGAGTTGGAGTCAACCTGACAGCACCTCATAACACCCATAGAGAAGCTCAGGTGCGTCCTCATCTGTTCTGCATGTATAATATGTCATAATTTTCCAGAGAAAGCCTGCTTTTCGCTACAGTCTGTCACTCCCGTTCCCTGGTTGTTGCATTTCCTGGAACTGACCTTTTATTCAAACAATCTTATTGAGGTGTAATTTACATGCCATAGTGATTTTTAGTACATTTACTGATTTATGAAGCTTTCATTGTAATCCAGTTTAGGGCATATTTCCATCATCTCAGTAAAATCCCACATGCCCAATTATATCGTTAATCCCCATTCTATCCTGCAGCCCAGGGCAACCACTAAGCTACTTTCTGTCTCTATAGCTTGGCCTCATCTGGACATTTCTTATATAAATGGACGTGCACATACAGTGCACCAGGCTTCTTTCACTGACCATGTTTCCAAGGAACATCCATATTGCAGCCCATATCGATACTTCATTCCTTTTTATTGCCTAATAATAGTTCATTGTATGGATGTACCGTGTTTTATCCACTTACCAGTTGATGGACATTTTGAGTTATTTCCACTTGGGGCTGTTGTGAATAATGTCTGTGGTGAGGAGGAAAATAATAGACCAGTGAGGTTGCCAAAAAATCCCAAGAAAAGTCATTTCTTCGGCACACTGCCTAAAACAAAGGAAAAAGGCAGGTAAAGAAATGAATTGGGAGCTTCAGGCGACACGGTTCCTCCCAAGACTGAAATGACAGCTTCTCTTTTGGAGTGAATACAGTTTAGATAAGGGATCACCTCACATTAACCTGCTAAAGAAGAGAGGTCTACTTACAGGATTTCCTTGATAGGTGAGTGGTCTCAACAAGACACAGGATAGATAGAGGCAAAACTTGGATCCACAATCAACATCCTTCGTATCAGCAAGCAACCAAGAAATCAAAAGATATTTTGTATTCAGAAAGTCTGCTGTCAGGGACCTCTCCAAAGTACAAAGGAGCAATGATGCCAGTTTAAAGACTAAGGCGCATTTGGTTTCACTCACAGTCTTCACAATCACTTGCTGTACATCTGAGAGTTGGACCATGAATAAGGATGACAGGAGAAGAATCAATGCATTTGAGTTGTGGTGTTGGGTGTTGAAGAAGAGTACTGAATATCCCGTGGACTGCCAAAAGAGCAAAGAAATCTGTCTTGGAGAAAGTGCAACCAGGGTGTTCCCTTAGAGGTATGACAGATGAAACTCTGTCTCTCATGCTGTGGCCATGTTAGTATGAGGGGCCATTCCTTGGGAAAATATATCATACTTGGAAAGGTGGATGTTTAGCAAAAGAGAAAAATATCCCACCCTGCAATGAAGTGGATTGACACAGTGACTGTAGCAGTGGGCTCAAGTGTGTCAGAGATGATGAGGATGGCACAGGATAGGACAGGGTTCAGAGCTGTTGTTCATAGGCACCTACCAACAACCTCAAGGAGTGTTCTTTTTATTTTTTTTATATTTTAATGAAAATTTATAAAGAACTTGGATTTCCATTCATTGTTGCACACTTTTCTCCCTGCGCCCCCAGTTCACTTTTTTTTTAAAAAAAAAATATTTTATTTTTTTGTGTGTGTATATTGTCAAATAGGATCTAACTGGCACAGGAGGAGATTGTCCCTCCTTCTCCAGCCGAGCATCTGGTGGATTCGAACCGCACACACCTCTGGGATTGCAGTTCAACTTCTTGCCACTAGACCACCAGAGCTCCTAACTTAACTCTTTTTTTTTAATTAATTTTAATGAACATTTACAGAGATTTTGGATTTCCATTTATTCATTGTTGCATTTTTCTCTCTGCCCAGCCTTCACCCCCTCCCCCCCCCCCAGTTTGCTCCTCTCTTTGAAAAGCAAAATAAAAATTCCTTCTTTGGTATACAATCTTTTTTTTAAAAAAAAAAGTTATTTCTTTGTTACACAGGTTCCCCCCACCCACAGACCACTTTACTATGCAGCTCTTATTCTGGACTCCTGTCATGCTAATACCTAATCATATATTCCTTTTCTACAGTTCTCTCCCTCGTCTGTTTAAATGCTGCATACCTTATTTATCCCTTTTCTTCATTTCCCCCAACCCCCATGTCAGTCCTGTTTTATAACAGTGGCACTATGCAGTATTTGTCCTTTTGTGACTGAGATCTTTCACTCAGCATAATGTCTTCCATAGTCACTCAGTGGTTATTATGTTTATTAGATGAATAAGAGAGAGATAAAAGATTTTTCTTCAGTCCATGTGGTTGTGGGGCTAAATGTAAATAAGGCAGATCCAAGCTAGATTGTCCTATGATACTACAGTGGAGGGTGGAGGTGTGTCCTGGAGTCCACTGGCTCATAGAGACCCTGTGAACAACAGATGGAAATCCTGCTGTATCCTGCACCATCCTCACAACCTTTGCCTGCCTGAATCCAGCTTACAGTCACTGTGTCAGACCATCCAGTTGAGGATCGTCCTCCCTTTCCCTGACCCTCCACCTTTCCCAGCATGGTGTGTTTTTCCTGGATTGGCCAGCCTTTCCTGACAGTGTGCACAAGGTGTGTGAGTTTCAACATCCTTGCCTCTAAGGAGCACCACAGTTGTACTTCCTCTAAGACAAATGTGTTTGTTCATTTGGTAGTGCACAGGTTATGCAATACTCTTCACCAACACAGACATCAGGGCTTCTCTGGTCTTCCTTATTCAGTGCCCAACTTCCAGGAGCACAGGAAGCAACTAAAAAGACCGTGGCTTGGATCAGGTGCACCTTAGTCTTTAAACTGATTTCCTTGCTCTTTAACACTTTGGAGGGGTGCTTGAATCCCTATCTTTTGTTTTCTTGACTATAGTGAGACTGCCTTTATCAGATGCTAAACCAAATGAGCATAAGAAGGACTTTTTCGAGGTGTTTGTGTGAGTGAAACTCAGGAGTTAATAGCCTGGGAATTTTTTCCAAGTCTGCAAATCTGACTTTCTTGAATTGACGATTTGGACTTTTTATCAGCTCCGTGTTAGCGGCAAACAGCTCACTTTCTGCCGGGCTTAGCAGGCAGTGCTTTTATTCTAAGGCGTGCAGCTCTGACCGTTCACCTCACCAGTCCTGGGGCTAGTGCTGAAGCCGAGGTGACCTGTGTTGTTAACCTTCTGTCCTTTTCTCTCCCCTCTGGGTCTTGCAGAGCCGGGCAGTGGACAGGTGTTCGTGACGTCAGAGAACCAGCTCGTGTACTACCCCAGCATCACCTACGCCATCATTGGCAGCTCCGTCATCTTCGTGCTGGTGGTGGCACTGCTGGCGCTGGTCCTGCACCACCAGCGGAAGCGCAACAACCTCATGACGCTGCCTGTGCACCGGCTGCAGCACCCCGTGCTGCTCTCCCGCCTGGTGGTCCTGGACCACCCGCACCACTGCAACGTCACCTACAACGTCAACAATGGCATCCAGTACGTGGCCAGCCAGGCCGAGCAGAACGCGTCCGAAGTGGGCTCCCCACCCTCTTACTCGGAGGCGCTGCTGGACCAGAGGTGTGTCTGGCTGGAAGAGACTTGGGGTTCTCCTAGTTGTAAGGGGCCTGTGTCTGTACACAGCTGGGTTCCGGGGCCTTACCAAGAGCCTGGATTTAACGACCATCAGGGGCAGCAGCATCTCCCGTTTATCGAGTCCTGGCGAGATGTGCCCCTTGCCTCTTTCCATGTAGTCCTTCCAGCAGCTCGTGCAGATGTGTTCTGGTTTTGCCTCAGTTTTATAGACTGTTAAAGGGAAGATCAGGGACTTGTCTGAGGGCAGATCTGGTCATTACAGACCTGCTCCTGCCACTAATGCCACAATGGCCCTTATGACTCTAGGACTTCATCTGCCACTACAGACCAGTGCCCAGTTCCTAACAGCAGTTAGATAAATGTTGCATGAATGAACGGACGAACGAAGGAGGGAGCGAGGTCCCTAACTTTACTTGACTCCATCTATAAAAATCAAAGGGAGGAGAATAAAGCCTGACTGAGCTCTTTTAAATTATAAAGCTCTCATTACAAACAGACTGATACGAGAAGCCCCCTCAGTATAACAACAGAAGCCCAATTCTGTAGATGAAGTGGACCCAAAATCCAGTGTTCTTTGTGACTTCCAAAACTCTACCTCAGTAGCCCTGGGAAAACCATGTCCAGAGCTCCTTCAGTCCCTTTTGGTTCCTTGGCTCCCCACCCTGTCCTTTGAGGCCCAAGCTCACTATCTCTGTTCCCGAGGTGGGCCCAGGACATGCTATGTGTGGCTTTAGACATTTTGGAGGCATGTCCCTGGGATGATGATGGAGCTGTTTATTGCTCCTTCTTCAGGGAGTAGCTCTTGCATTATTTAATCTTCCTTTTTCCTGCCTCATAAAAGAGAAACAAAGCTTTGAGGGTAGAGCCGTGTCTTCAAGATCTCTTTGCAAAAGAATTCTGAAACAGTGCAGGCGTTCATTCACGTAGTAACGTTCTAACTCGTATCCTCCTCATTCACACCATCTTATGTAGGGTCAGGGTGACATGACTGGCCCTGCTTTCCTATCAGCCCTACGAGCTATTTTCATGCTAAGCAAGCCACTGATATCCTTGCTCTTCAGTTTCCTCATCATTAAAATAGACATAAAAGTTATGCCTACCTGACTGTCCTTGTGAGCATTACATAAGGTAATGAGTGTAAGTGGCCTGGTGTCCGACTGAAGTAAGACTTGAGTCAATGATAACTAGAAACCATTTCTTTTCTGTTCGTTTCTTTCACTTCCAGCAAAGTCCTTTTATCTCATTTTACAGATAAGGAAACTGAGGGGTGTAAAGGATATTTCCTCCCACACAGCCAGGAAGAGTTGGCTTTCAATAGGAACACCAAATTCTGTAGTCCCACCAAGGGTTTCAGGCAGAACACCAGCCCAGTCACTAAGCCCTGGAGCCCTCACTGATAGAGCAGAGTGGCCCAGAGCAGCCACCCAGGCTGATCGTAGTTGTTGTTTGGCAACCTCCCTCTGAAACCATCAGAGGATGTGGCTCTGGCACTGCCCAGCTGACACGAGCCAGCCCTGAGCACACTGACTTTTTTGTTCCCTTTGTCTGGTTCAAACTGCCAGCTTAGCTATCCTGGAATCACCTTTGCACTTGGAAGGAGAACCTCCTTTCCCTCTTGAAGCACCGGGTCTGGAATGGACTGGAATTCACCCACACAGCCTGACTCCGCATGGCTCTAACACCTTCTCTCTCTTCCCACCCCAACCTCTTCTCCCTTGCAGACCTGCATGGTACGACCTTCCTCCACCACCCTACTCTTCTGACACCGAGTCTCTGAACCAAGCCGACCTGCCCCCGTACCGCTCCCGCTCCGGGAGTGCCACCAGCGCCAGCTCCCAGGCAGCCAGCAGCCTCATGAGCGTGGAAGACACCGGCCCCAGCCTGGGGCAGCCCAGGCCTCCGGAGGGGACTGCTGAGCCCAGGGACTCTCTGCCCAGCCAGAGCGCCGAAGAAGTATAAAATCCAGTTATTCCAAAGTCCATGTGGGTTAATGTGCTCCGACTTGTCGCCACGCTAACCATGGGTGCTCATGGGGACTCTTGGGGGGGTTGGCTGTCTCTCCATTGGCCTCCTCCACTAGATTTCAGGTATGTTTGTTGGAGGGCAGCCTGGCATCTCGCTGGCCTCTTGTTGACATGGACATGTTGTGCCTCCGTCCTGTGGGGACCCAGGATCACAACTTCCCTCTGCCCGTCATTCTTCTGTTATGATCAGAATCCTTCTGAGTGAGGGTCAGGCAGTTGCAGGCTGCAGGGCCAACAGTATTTAATCATTCTTTGAGGAAGCAGTGTTTCTGCACCATGTTGGCCTTTGAGGACAGGAGACACTGCACCCCACACCCTGCTGGGCTGCTCCTTTAGACTGTTCATTTGAGGTTTGAGCTGGATGATCTTGCCATGAGGAATTACTCAGAGGAATTACTCCTGAGGAATTACCCTGCAAAGACTCAAAATTCTTGGTCATATGTTGTGCTTGGTCAGTGGAGGCAGTTGCCAAAGAAAACACTTGACATGAGCAGTGCCCATAGTTCCTGGCAGCAGCGTTTCGGTTTTGTGAATGACTCTGAAACCCATCTCCTTATCATAAATAGATTCGAGGTCTAAGAATCTGCCCAAGAACTCGGGTTTGGAAAGCTCTCTGCAGCAACATCTATCATCAGCCTCGTCCCAGAATAGACAGCAAGCCCTTACCATGATTTCACCCCAGGTCTCAGCTCCTGACGTGCAAGCTGCCAGGAACCTAGCCCTTGCTGGCTCCACTGTCCCAGCCTGATTATAGATTGTCGCCCTCTCAACTGAGTGAGCCGCTGGTAGCCAAGGGATGAACTAGGAATCTGGGCTGGCGTGGCTGACACTATAAACCACATCCAGCCTGCCTTGCTCAATCATCCAGCTCAGTATTGGTGTCCTAAACTCCTCTAACACTCGGAAGTCTGTTTTATCTGTAAGATTGGACTTGACATAATGTTCTGTAGCACAAGTGACAGCAATTTTCAGTCCCTACCGTGTGAAATCCTGGCTCCTAGCACTGCACACAGTCCCGAGACCTGAGTCCCTGCGTCCTCGTACCTCCATCAACAGCCCTTCCTCGCATCCCTTCATCTCCCCTGTGAGCCTCTTGGACAGTTAGACCATGTGGAGTCAAGGTTTTCCCTTTGGACTTTTTTTTTTTAATCTCTTAGAAATGCATTTGAAATAGTGTGTTTGGTGGGTTTCCCTTCTAGTTAAGGGACTATTTATATATGTATAAGAAAGCTGTTTTGTTTTGTTTGTTTTTTTAAGTGGGGTGCAAAGAAAAAAAGCTAAAGGGGAAGCTGCCTTTGCCTCACATGAGCCCCATGCTAAAAGGTCGTTGCAGACTAACCCATGTGCCAGGCGCTAGTGCATTGTCGCACTTTAAGGTTATAATATTTATCAAGTTTTTGAAGGATGCTGAAGAGGGACCTCTTTGGCCCTCGGTTCATAGTCTCTGTGTTTGTGCTAGTCTTTCATGCTTTCTCTGTGCCCAGCCAGCCATGGGGCCCATCCCCTGGGAGAATGATGGGTGGGAACTTCAATATCACATAGCTTGAAGCCACACTGACTGTTGGGAAACAAAACTGGAACCACGTGGCGCCACTCATGGCAGCTCCGGCCCAATCAGGGCTCCGCTCAGCAGCAAAGGAAAGGTTTCATTTCAGTTTACCTATTTAATGCTTAATAAAACGGCGAGCCTTTGGCGGGGGAGGAATGAGGTAGCATTCAGGGATCCTATTCTATAGACTTTTCCCCCCCAAACTCAAAGTATTAATGGTATTTGTTTTAGAAAAGGAAGGAGGGAACCTCATTGTTTATTCTTTTCCTGTTTAAAATAGCACTTGAGTTCTTCTTTGAGTAATCCAATAAAGGACCTTTGATGGTGGCCAGGGTGCGGTGGAACTCACTGGAATGTTCCATCTGTGCGGCAGAGTGGCTTAATTCCTCCCTTTGAGGGCCCCCTGCTCCTTTCTGGGACTCTGAATGTTGTTTAGAGGAAAGGATTCTAATTTTAATTAATTGTGCAGTGAGTTAATCTCACACGCGTTTCTGCTTCCAGGCATCGTAGGAAAAACAAATGGTCTTAGAAGATAAGCACGGCCTATTAGTGCTGGGGTTTTTTCTAAAACAAAACAAACACAGGGACATTTTTTAGGATAGATTTGATTTTTTAAAATGACTGTTTTTTAAAGTATATAAATAGGACACCAAAGCTACAGACTCGTTTTGTTTTCTACTCCAGATGGCAAGTAAATGGCCAGCAATATTTTTAACTCATTCCAACCAACCAGGACATTTTTCTCATACCTTGCCTAAATCTGCCAGCCAGGAGACCATCTCTGTCCTCTTTGTCAAATGCGATCAGTTAGTCTTTTTTACCTTAGTATTAAAACTAGTTTTGCTGTGTTTGCTAATTTATCGACGCCCTCTTCTTTGACATTGACTTTTTGAAAAAAAAAAAAAAAAAGGAAATTAAGTGGCTAATAAATAAAATGTGAGATGTTCAAAGTGAAAGAAAACTGGAAAAATTGTGTGTGGTTGCATTTTTATTGGTTAGGTTGCTTGTGTTTTGTTTTTTAATTTTTATACTTTCAAATAAACTTGCCGTTTCATTCTTTCTCCTTGTGTAAATGGTTCATGACTCACTGTTGTCCCCTATGGCAATAGAGTGAATATTCATAGACTTTCTCCTATCTCACACTCCCTGAGGAAAAGGAAGAGTGTATTGATGAGACCTCCAAATGAGACAGGTGCTTAAAGAGTCAAGGTGGTTGGACTGTGGTGGAAGGGTTCTGGACACAGTGTCATGAGCTGTGGGGAATCAGTGTTAACAGTCAGCTTCTTAAGGGTGTATGGGAAAAGATGGTACTCCAGCCGGATGCAGTGGGGGAGAGGTGGCTGTGTGTGGACATGCGCTCTAAGCGGTTCTAAGGGGAAAGGTCAGTGAACAAGTATGCTGACTCCATGGACATTTTGAGTTAAAAAAACTCATAGGAACTTTAATTAGAAACTCCAGTTTCAAACGATGGAAATCCAGCTCTCACCTAGGTGTGACTGTGTTACATTTTAGAAGATGCATCGTCTAATGGAACCAGGTCCAAAGATAAAGGAGCTGCAGGTTGCAAGCAGGGCTGGGTCCAGTTGCTCAGTAGCTGTCATCAGAAATCTGCATCTCTTTCATGCTTTTCAACACTATTTGCTCAGTGTTGGCTTTATGGCTCTACACATGGTAGAAACAGGGTCCTTGAAGGTCTAAGCTCAGGAACTCAGAAGAAACTTTGCTAGGAACTGTAGAAGCTCTCTTAATTGGACCTTGATCCTATAATCCAGGCTGTAGATGACAATCCATCCCGTAATGGACAACTCCGCTTGAATTACATGGAGTATGAAAAAGACAATTCCTATGTAGAAGATAATGGTAGACAAAATACTGTTGTATCTACTAGAGCTTCACCAAGTAAAGAGCCTTGTCAATGTGTGGCACACCTTCTAATTACTGTTCAGTGCAATTCAGTCAAGTAAGACTCATAGCAACACAATGAACACAGATCTGAATCCTGCCCGATCATATGCCATTCTTATCATCGTCAACACATTTGAGTCTATTGCCATATATCTATCCATCTCGTTGAGGATCCTTCCTTTCTTTCGCTGACCCTCCACCTTTCCAAGCAATATCTCCCTTTCCAAGGAATAGCCTCTCCTAATAACATGTCCAAAATATTTGAGACAAAGCTTCACCATCTGTGCCTCCAAAGAACACTCTGGTTACACTTAGTTGTCTTGCTTACTCCAAGATGTATCCGTTCTTTGGCAGTCCATCTGATGTTCAGCACTCTTCTCCAACACCATGACTCAAATGCATCCGTCTTCAGCTGTCATACATATTCATTATCCAGCTCTCAGATTCATAGCAAATGATTGGAAAGACTGTGGGTTTGAGTCAGGCACATTTTAGTCTTTACACTACATTGTTGCTCTTCAGGACTTTGGAGGGGTTTCTGACAGCCGACTTTCCCCAGTGCTATCTGTCTCCTGATCTCCTCACTGTTGGTACCGACAGTGTTGACTGTGGATCCAAGCAAGATAAATTCATTGCCCATTTCATTCTTTTTTTCCATCTTTCGTGAGGCTGATCATTGGCCCCTTAGTAAGGATTTTTGTTTTCTTGAAATTAAGATATAACCTACATTGAAGGCTGCACTCTTTGATCCTCTGCAGCAAGCACTTCAGTTCCTCCTTACTTTCTGCAAGCAAGATTATGTCTTCTGCATAATGCAGGTTGTTGATGAGCCTTTCTCCCATTCTTCCCCCCCCCCCCTTCTCCCATTCTAATGCTACTTTTCATGAAATCCAGCTTTCCTAAGGATTTTCTCAGCATACAGATTGAATGAGTATGAAGAGAGAGTACAGCCCTGACACACACCTTTCCTGGTTTTAAACTATCCACTCTTCCCTGGTTTTGTTCAAATAGCAGTTTCTTGATGTAGGTGTAGGTTTTGCATGAGCATGGCTCAGTGCTCTGGAGTTCTTCTCAAGGTAAGCCATAGTTGGTTAGGATCCACACAGTCAAATACTTTTGTGTAGTCAATGCAACCCAAAGAGACATTCTTCTGGTATCCTCTGTTTTTAGCCAAGATCCATCTAACATCAGCAATAATATCCATGGTGCCATGACCTCTTCTAAACCCAGCTTGAATTCTAACAGTTCTCTGTCAAAGTACTGTTCTAACTCTTTTTAGATTTTTGGCAATATTTTGTTTGCATTAGGGATATTATTTTATAATTTCCACATTCTGTTGCATTATCTTTCTTGAGAATTAGAGCAAATAATGGATCTCTTCTGATCAGTTAGTCAGGTAGCTGTCTTCCAAATTTCCTGGCACACACTGTTGAGTGAGCACATCCAAATTAGGATAGAGTAAGAAGAAGGATTGGCCATGCACTTCTGAAAGAACTGGCCTTTGAAAACCCTATGAACAAGCGAGTTTATAATTATTGTTCTATGCAGTCGAGTAGCCCATGA